TATATATATATATATATATACTAAATATATATTTTATATATACTAAATATATAAAAATTTATACAAAAACTTTAGAAAATAACATAGTTAAATAAAATAAATTTGTCAAAATTATGTTCTATGGAAAAAATATTGTCTATCATATTTATTAATTAAAACAGAATAGATCACATAATTATCAGAGATTTACTTTGTCGGTAAATGAAATAGTTGCAAAAATATATACTGTCAGAAATATTATCAAACATGAATATTATCAAACACAAAAATAAATAAGCAAAAATAAATAACCATTTTTCATTTTTTTTGTTCTTAAATTAATATATAATCTCAAATAATAAATAAATATATGATATTTAATTCAGGTCACATAAAAGTCAAAATTAAATAATCTAAAAAAAGATTAAAAATTTATATAATCAAGAGATTATGTATAATATGTCAATAAATATGGTTACTCTAAAATTATTATTGTTTAAAATCATATAATCTATAACTATGTAAAATGATCACTCATGACTCAAAAACATGAAAAAAAAACAAGACACATCTCTTATTAAATGTACATTATGAAAATAAACGAATTAAAATTTATCTACAAAAAATGCTTTAGAGACACAGATATGCAAAAAGTATTAACAATATTATAATTAATTAAATATAATTAGATAATTAATCCTCAATTTAGGTAATATATAAGATTATTAGATAACTATTAAGATTATTAGATAACTAATAATTCAATTTATGTTCAAGATAGATTTTATTGCAAATATAGATATAATAAACAAACTAATAAATTTCTTCATCAAACTTTTATAATTCCTCAATCAAACTTCTCAATCGAATAGCAAGATCCCAAACATGTTTATATCTGTCATTAACAAATGGACACAATAATAGCTGCAAAAACTCGGAATAACGGAAAGTTAATAGAACACAAATTATGATCATATTCATGGTTTCATTCATATAGAAAATTATATTATATCTAATAGAATTAATAATCTTTGACAAACCATACAATGAAATATAAATATAATTAATTAATATAATTAAAATTCCATACTATTTATTATGTAAACCTGAAAAAGAACTCAATAATAATTAT